CCACTACACTCCAGTCTGGGTGACAGAGTGAGACTCTGTCTCAAAAACAAAAAAGAAAAGAAAAAAAAAATTGCAGAGTAAATAGTCCCCGCCCTCCTTCCCCCACAGATTTGCTGAGACAACAACATAAATTGATTGAAGTGTGTGCATTGCAAATAAGCAATGTTTCCTTTTGCCAGCTTTCAATCTTGCTTTCCAAATTGCTTGCCTTATCCACTTATAGACAGAATAAGAAAAGACCTATGGAAAGAGTACAGTCTGTGGGGTCTGACAGCCCTGGATTTGAATCCCTAAATAGCACCAGCCACTTGCGTGACCCCAGCCAAGTAGGGTATCCTTTCTGGACCTCAGCACTAAAAATAGCTGCCTTGCCTGGATCTTATGAGGTAAGCTTGGAGCCTAGTTTCTGCACTCAGAAATCTGTTAGTGGTGGCCTTTTAAATGTATCTTTTCTGTATTCTCTGTTAACCCCATACACTCTTTTGTTTATTTATTCATTAAAAATTTTTTTTTTAAACTGTTTTTTTGAGACAGGGTCTTGCTGTCTCTTCCAGGCTGGAGTGATCATAGTTTACTGCAGCCTCGACCTGGCAGGACTTAAGTGATCCTCTTGCCTCAGTCTCCTGAGTATCTGTGACTACAGGTTTGTGCCATCCTGCCCAGCTAATTTAGGTATTTTTTCCAAGAGACAGAGTTTCCCTGTGTTGCCCAGGCTGGCCTTAAACTCCTGGGCTCAAGCGATCCATCTGCTTCGGCCTCCCAACGTACTGGGATTACAGCTGTGAGCCACTGCACGTCCTCCATGCAGTCGTAACACTATGGGCAGCCACATTGGGCAGCTTTTGTGTTGTCAGGGAGACACTCTTCCTCAGCCCCTGGGCACTCCGCTGCAAACTTCCTGGCTCTCTGGCATGCTGGAAATCAGCTCCATTTGTGTTACCCTGAAGATGTGTTTGATTTATAACTCATTCTGACTCTGTAGAAAATAATTCAATAAAAACTCAATTGGTTTTCCATTAGCCCTGAGCAGGGATGAGGGATAGTATCTTCTTTTATAAAACATGTGA